AAAAAAAGAGCACAAACTGAAACTTTGTTGCTTAATCAAATTAAAACAAAACCACCGCAACAATACGCGGAAAAATAACAAATTTTGAACAAAAACTTTTTGTATCACGAGTGCCAACTTTTCTGCGGATCAAAAATATTAATTTAAAATAGTGTGTTGTGGCTGCAGTCGAGGATAAAAAAAATATCTCAATTTTTATAGGTTTTGAGCTTTTAATGGAAAATAAAAATAAAAAAGTTTTATTAAACATGCATTGGTTTTTGAGTGGATGGGATGGATAATAAATTATGGAAATTTTATTCTGGAAAAAAATTATTGAGCAGTGGGTTCTTCATTTACTGTAATTTCATTTTATTAATAAATTTTTAAATGGAAAAATATGTTTAAATTAATTCCACAAATTTGTGTGTGTTATAATGTGCTCTATAAAAGTGAATAAATTAATAAAATGTATGCAATTATTTTTACTTGGAATTTTTAAAAATGAATTAATTATGAAAAATTTTAAGAACATCAGCGTTGAAGATAAAAAAACATTTGAGGGGGAAGAGGGTTTAAAGTTTATTTTCTAAACAACATAAGAAGCTGTTTACTAATTCTGAAATATTCCATTTAAATCTTTGAAATGACGCAAAATTTTAGATCAAGCATTAAAGCATTAAATTTAAATCAAGTCGTATAAACTCAGGATTAATCCAAAAAAATTTAAAAAATCCTATAAAATCCATCGGCCAATAAACATGAAAATGTGAAATCCCGTTTAAAAATTGAAGTTATTCATCAAATGCATCAGGAATTTAAAATGGATTTCACATTTCCATGTTTATTGGCCAAGAGATTTTTTAGGATCTTTTGGAATTTTTCAGATTTAATCCTTAGTTTCCACGCCTTGTTTTTAATTGAGATCCAAAGAGAGAATTTTTGATTTATTAAATATAAAGTAGTAAATTGAAGAATTGTGGGTTGTCAAAACCTGGCAAGTGCTTTAATATGGAAGCTTTAAACTATTTCTATCAAGAGCTGATTTTTAATAGATTTTTTTCAACATGGGCTATGGAGCAGGTTTCTAAGGCTACCCGGGGCACACTACCCTAGTCTCAGATTTATTTTATTTATATCCCATATTGTAGTACATCGATTTTAATTTTTTGTCCTAGGGTGCCCCGAGTAGCCCTAGAAACCGGCCCTTGGTCGCAGTTAAATTTTATTTTTCTTTCTGAAGTGCAGTCATTGCTTTTGGATTCTAGAGTTGAGTGCCTCGTGGGTTTCTTAAGCGACCGTGAACTTCGAGTCTAGCCCATATGGTTTGAAAAAGCTGCATTTTCTTAGTCTCTAAGCATGATCAATATATCTCGATACCACAGCAATTAAAAAACAAAGTAAGAAACTTAAACGCCACTAAGCTTCTTCAGTTCACTATTTTATTTGACTAAAAATCTAAGAAAATCTAGTTTCCTTCCTCATAAACTTCAATTAAGTTTAAATTGCATTTTCCATCATCAATAATTAAATCTATCGACACTTATTTACGAGATAAAATTCCCAAGTTGTTAATTGAAAATCATAAAGATCCCTTGAATGCCACTTGAACTATTTCTTATTAAAATTTCCCTCATAAACAAGACAAGCAGAGGAAAAACCGCAAGAAAAACAATTTTAAGTAACTTTAGTTATATATTTTTTATATTGAATAATTGAGTTCAATTTTTTTTGCATTTAATTTGCTTTGGGTTTTTGTGTGCATAAACAAATTGAACCGACGAAAGGAGGAACTTTCGAAAATCGACTAATGAAAAAGTTTCATTTTTTCTCACAACTTCCAATCCAAAAAAATTTTCACATCATAAAATTGAAAAACTTTTCATTCTCGAGAAATTCATGATTTTAAGATTTTTTAAGCACTGCAACAGTTCTCATAGCTCTTGAAACTTTTTTTTTACAGCTGGATCATTATTAATTTCTTGTGTTTCGTTTTTCACTCAAGCCACGTCTGTGTATTTATGTGTACGTACGTTGCTGAACTCTCAGTTCAACTTCCAATGCGGTTTCTTGTTACAAATTACACTGCAGAGCATTTTTCATTATGCCAACATGTTCTTTAACTTCTTTCCATTCTCTCTCTATTATATCTATTCCTCCCTCAACGTAACCAGATATTTTAATAGTTAAGATTATCAAAAAAAAAAAATGAAACAACATAGTGGGATTTCCAAGTGATTTTCTTTCTTGTTTTAGATGAGGAAAAGTGGATGAAAATAAAACAAAACAAAAAAAAAAAGTGCAGAACAGCAGCTTCTCCTACTATCTACGTAATATGAAACTCAGGCAAAAGTTCAGTCTATTATTTTCTCATAAAACACAATGTGCATAAATCTCAGGTCCCTATTTAGACATTATTTTTCATAACGAATGGAAGAAGCAGAAAAAAATTAAAGAAATCTCGTGTTATTGATCGAGAGACTTAAGCGCATTTTTGTGTCAGCGATCAGTATTTGATTATCTAATTATTTTGCGTTTATTTACAGATTATTAGAAGATTAGAAGATCATTAATTTTAGTGAAAAGGATTTAACATTTATCGTTTTTTTGGAATTCAAATTTTTTAACGGTTAAAAAGAATTCGAACTTCTGGACGCACCCTGATTACAATTTTTTACAACGGTAGAAAATAATTCAATTTTCTAAACGCACCAATCACGTGTTTTTCATATGAAATTAAAAAATCATTAATTAAAGTACAAATACACTGTTTTAAGACCTTTAACTGTTCGGCCGGTCAATAACTTCATAGAACTGAGCTGATAAAACAAACCCGAGCTCTCAACGATGTCTGGTTAAAAAGTTTTTCTTTCCCCGAACAGCCGAACAGCCGATCAAAGTGTATTATTAAGCTACCTTTTCGAAACAAGTTTCAAAAATGCGCTAAAAAGAAGAGTGTTGGAAAATAAAGAATAAAAGTCCTGAATGAAGAAATCCATTTTGTTGATTAAAACGTAGTCACGAGGAAGCAAGGAAGCATGGCGATATGGGAATCAATTGCTAATGATGTTCAACATTAAGAATTTGAGGGGGTTAATGAAGGGGGATAATTATGGGGGGAGGGAAAGGTGTTCCAACATTTTCTTATTTTCTTCAATTTTTTAGACTTTTGAGCTATTTTTCCCCTTTAAAAAATCACCCCTCCCCCCCCCCCCCCCCCCCCCTATTAAAACATTAACAATAATCTTAATAATGTCTTCTTCCTAAAACAACCAAAGTTCTAATAGATGACAACAAAGTCACTTACTTTCTTATTTAACAAGCCTAATTTTAAACTCGACTCATATAAATTTCACACCTCTTGTACCTTGTAATCATGGAAAGGTGAGACTAAAGAATTATTTTTATTGTTATCGTTGTTGCTACTTCATAATTACAAATTGCACAAGCAGAAGAAAGGAGAAGTAAAAAAAAAAGTTTTTTCTTTTTCCACATGACATCATAATAAGTCACTGGAGCGAATCGACAGAAAAAGGCTTTCCTTTTTTTTCATACCCTTACGAATGTCTTTCTGTTGATTCATTCACTCATAAAGTTGAGCGAGCAGCTCAATTGTGCGAATTGATAGAAGAAAAAAAAATTATGAATGAATGAATTATTCTTTTCCCTTTTTTTCCTTGTTGTCATCGTTGCTCGATGAAAAAAAAAAATATAAAAAGAAAAGAAAGAAAAACAGCACAACATGAAGTTGGTGATTCATGATATATGAATAATAAGTGTAGAACAACATAAAACATGGTACTCTTGAAAATTGAAAAATGAAGACATTGAGTATTGTTGTTCTTTTACAACATCACATCATATTCACATTTATTCGTCTAGTAACAAGTAGAAGAGAGGATATAAGGTGTGGTTGAGGTAAAGAACGCATTTTTAAGAGTTGTTAATTTCTGAAAGCAGGTGAAACTTTAGTTGATCTCAATCGACACTAATCACGATATTCTAGACTATGATCGAGGATCAATGGAATCAAGAAATTTGTGATATCCAATTTTTTATAAGAAAATTATAATTTTTTTGTATCTATGATTGGATGTCACAAGGGGGGGGGGGGGGGGGGTTGTATTGACACCTGTGACAGTTTTGTGATAGAAAAGGGGGGGGGGAGGTCTAAAAATTATGTTTTTTGATGGACGTCATAAGTGAAAGGCCCTACTCTATCATAGGGGTCGTCTCTTATAACGTCCATCAAAAAACCTGATTTTTAGACCCCCCTCCCCCCCTCTGTCACAAAAATTCTATAGAAAAATATTTTCATTGTTTGAACTGTCACAAAATCCTAGGCCCCCCTTCCCCCCTAAATGTCGGACGTCATAAGTGAACGGCCCCATACCCAAACCCAGTTTTTAGACCCGGACAATTTTTATAGCAGAACAAGATTGTAGTCGAACAATTTGATACTAGTGTACTGTATTCCATACAGTTCTAGAAACTGTCTCCTGTTTGATGAAAGGCAGTGGCTTAATGAAAGTTGAATTGAATGTGCCATCGCTCTACACAACTTAATTCATTCACAATACTATGTAGATCATATCTGATCACGTTTAAGATCCTGAAAATTCAAAAAATAACATTTTATAGAAAAAGTGCACATCAAACTTAACCATTTCATCAACAAAATCAAGTCAATACGCCCATACACATGATTAAACTTCAACGGCAAACAACGTCAAGAACTTCTCAATCCCTTTTATGTTTAGAATGAAAATTTATTACATCAATGAGCACAAATCATTCGTACATTTGTCATAAATGACTAACCGTTTTCAATTTACGCTCGCTTTATTTCTTCTTTTTCACGATTTTTCATTTCTTCAAAACGTTTAATGTGTGGATAAATTGACGTTGAGTCAATAAATAAGTCTATTTACCTTTATTTTTATATCTGTTCTTTATTGTATCACATATTTTATGATAAGAATCTGTTTCATCACGTTTGTAGCACAAATTGCAATTGAAATTCAATTTCTAATTCGTGACTTGAGACGCACATAAATTTTTTCTCGCACATCAAACTCAAATGATGACTTCAATTGAATCGTTGATGGTGTTTTGTGGCACATTTCCAGTGTGAAGTGAGTGAGAAGCTGATAGATGAAAATTTTGACTAGTTGCATTGCGAAATTCCGCAAAATGCATGAATGTGGTCCGATACTGAATGGTAAGTAGTCCGCTTCCCCAATTTGCTTGTTATCAAACCGATGAGGTTCGAATGTAAGTGGATTATCAAAATGTTTCGGATCATGATGAATTGCAAATGTTGGAATGATGAGTTCATCGCCTTTTTGGAACTCAAATTTGTATCCATCGTCTGTAATGAGCTGATAAGTTTTTGTGCACATTCGATTTATTGTGGTTGCTGGTGGCCATAGACGAATTGACTCGCTTACGATTCCATTGAGTAGTTTCATGTTATTGACATTTTCAAAAGTGATTCCGTCTCGTTCATTAATTTCGTCAATTTCGTCTATTAATTCCATTTGGATGTCATAGTTTTTAGCTAATTCATAGCGCAACATTTGAAGGACATTAACTGAGAGTCTATAACCTTTACTAAAGAATGAATATCCAATTGCTATGTAATATTCATCTGGCCATGTGATGTGCTTCATTTTTCTTAAATTTTCATTACTTTTCAAAGAGAGAAGATTTTCGACTGAAAGATTATTTACTGATGTTGCAATAAATGTTCTGCCTGTTATTGGAATCGCCTGTTTTAACTTATTGTTACTTACCAAGAAATATGTCGTAACGGCTTCTGAAGAGTTTGAAATCATCAATGAAGGACGTAGAATTAAACAGCTGAAATTTCCTAGGTTCCGCAAAGCTGTACTGGCGAATGATCTCAATTGCCTTGGTCCAAAAGTATATAACCAGTTGCCTCTGAAATTAAGAGAGATTAGAAGCTTTAATTTATTTAAACGAAAATTGAAAATTTTTCTTTTGGAAAATAAATTGATCTTTTTGAGGGGCTGCAAACTGGATGTAAACAACTTGTTCAAATCAGCTTAATCAACGAGATGCTTAAATTCAAATTTTATTGACACGTTATATTATATTGCCATACTTAGTTTATTACTGCTATTTTAAATATTTTCTTTTTTTGCTACTTACCAACTTTGTGCGTGTACGTACATTATTTTATCCACTATCATACTTCATTTGCAATTTGTATTGCCTTTAATTAATTAATGTTCACTAAACAACTTTATATATATCGAAACATGTATGATGTTCTTAGCTTTTATGCTTAACTACCCGAGAGGGATAATAAAACCAAATCAATCAATCAATCAAAGACTTTCCATCATTTGACGACAATTCCATTCCATAATGATGCAATTGACCGTTCTTAGCTTCGAGAAGTAATTGAATCATGTCTGGTCGAGTAATTTTTTTCACTTGACGTACTTTCATTTCTTCTATAACAGCTTGATTGAAAAATTCTTTCGTTTGACTGTCAACAAGTTGGATGTTCATTGCTTTGTAAAAGTTTGGAAAGACACTTGAAATTAGATACTTTAAATGTCCAATTAATCCAAAATTGTTTGATATTTTTTCTGCTATTTTGAAGATATTCTCATTTTTATTTCTATAGCAATTAACCTTTTGGGCACCAAGACATGATGCTAAAGAATTGACACAAAACTTTTTAGACACTTCTTTGATGTCGACTAGGAATTCTTTATCATTTTCTTCTTTGTAATTCAAATATTCAATCATTTTATCTGTTGATTCCAGCATCAGTTCAAACATCTGCTTCATGCTTCGGTCATCAAAAATGACATCTAAAGAATTTTTTATTTCATTCCATTGATGATAATTGAGCGATTCCAATGATTGACTGTCAGAAACTTGATTGACAAAGTGGTCAAAATTTTCAATTAAAATACTTTTGACTATTTTCGTATCGCAAATAATTAACTGAGGTTTATTGAAGTTGAAAATGCCGACAATTCTTGAAGTAAAAGAAAATGATAAAAAAATTACAATGTGAATTTTATGATGTTTACTGAAATTGTATTCATGAAATGGTTTCATTGTGTAAGTTGAAAATCAGCTTTTGACATTATCATGATAATTATTATGTGCAGCTAGAGTAATTTTTGTATTTAAATAGATATTTACTATAGTCATGAAACCTTACATTTTAAGTTTCTTTATTTCAATTGGATAAAAGTAAATAAAGTGATATGAGAATGGAAATATTTACACAAATTGTATGCATGTGGGTTCATGCGCAAATGGTGTTCAACAAAGGGGGGGGGGGATAAAACCACTAGAAAAATGAAAAAATTTCTGTTGACGTGGGAGGATTTGTCACCAAAATCCCATCATAGTCTCAATCATGTCCAAAAATGTTGTCTTAAGTGATATGGTCTGTCGCTTATTAAATAGCCCCCAGGGAGGAGGGGGGGGGGTTTGAGACATTATTAAAGTTCATACAATTTTTTTCATAAAAAAGAAGACGATGAGGATGCGTCTTGAGATTTTTAAATGAAATAATTTTTTAATAACTTAATAAATAAATAGATAATAATGCAATCAAGGGTGTGATGCTGATGAAATGATCAAAATTAATCAAAAATTATCAAAATGTAATTTATCAGTTCCGCACCCTTGATTGCATTGATTGTCAAATTAAAATTGCGTGTAAGCTTCATCAAATTATAATGGTTGTTAAATTGCCGTAAAAGACACATGAATTAAAAATGTCAAGAACTATTAACAGACAATTAAATTCGTGAATGCTTTGACTGATAATAACTGCAAAAGCTAGTAAACTTTTATTTAAAAATAAATAGCTTATTGCTTTTAATGTAAGGAGTTTGTTCACAAAAGAGTTTTGGTTGAGGGATTAATATGATTGTTCTTTGACTAATGCCATATTGGCACTGCCATTAAATATAACTTTTAAAACAAAACAAACGAAATCGTGAAACTTGTATGCAGTGGCTTATATAGAGCTCGAAGTCGATTCAAGATTTTATAATAAGCAGTTAAGAGAAGCTTTTATAAGAAGCAGTTAAGTGCCTTGCTAGTCGAATAGGTAAGGCGCTTGGCTCAAATTTGGTATGGTAACTCGAAGGTCGTCGGTTCGAATCCAGCCATTTCCAAATTTGTTCTTTTTCAGAAGTTTAGATACTTCGAGTGCTTAATGTACGAGATCAAGCCGTAATTGGGCATTTTGGGCAACGTTGGATTAAGGAACGGGTCAGGAACTTGAAGTGTAGCGGGAGAAATAGGAACGAGAGCTACAAGATTACCTTATAATGGAATATTGTCAGAACGGACCTGAAATGTATCACGTCACGCCCACAGAAGATTGAAACGAGAGCCTAAATTTAATCGAAACCTAGATTTGAAGATTAGAAGCTTGATTCTACGTCACCCATAGTGATATGAAATGTATCACTAATCAATGTAAAAAGTAAAACATGTATAAATACTAATTCTTCCGGACGGTCACGTCGACAAATAAATAATAATAAAATAATCCATACCTTTCCCTCCAATGCCTCTCATAAGTCTCTGTTAGGATCTCTACAAATGATCTTTTTCCAAAAAAGACACTCCCAACATTCCCAAAAATTACAGCAGGTTCATCATAAATAATTTTTCTACGTTTAAAAAACGTCACATTTTCTCGCAATTTTCGATGAATAAAATATAAAACAGCACAAAATATTGCAAACACAACGAGTGAACTCATTTTCCACAGCTATACTTTTTGATAATCTACAACACACTAAACTGTGCATGAAGTGTGCGGTATCGAAAAATATGAATTTTTTATTCATTGTTGTATTGACTAAAATATTTTATACTTTTACGCTGTCTATTGTTATTCACTACATGCGGTTGTGTATGAAGCCATAAAAATTGAATAAAAAATTGCTTGTTCTAATCTATAGATCCATTTGTATGCTGGCAATAAAAACACAAGTTCATCTACATAAAATTAATTAATTTTTTTACTTGTTTGTAATAAAATCTCTTCTCTGATACCGACTATGATGTAACGGTAGGTCAATTGATTTAAAAATTATCGTTGAATGTTTGAGGAACCGAAAGCTGAGCAGACGTGAAATAATATTGAAGAGGTTTTAATTTTTGTAATAAATTTTTAAACATGATATTGCAGAACATGAGAGGATGTAACAAGCTGAATTTTATGCATCCACAAAATTCTCTCAATAGTCAACTTTATGGATGATTGGCGAAGTTTTTCGATGAGAATATGAATGGATGTTAAGGATGCTTGTACTTTTTAGGTTTGCAGATTTTTCTCTCAACAGTATTTAATTTGAATGAGAGTTAATTATTACATTTATTAAAGTTTCAAATATCCCCTTTGAGGGTCTAAAGTTACAAGCTTCAATGGAGGAGTTTGATGAAGTCTGAAAAGTTTCAACTTCAAATTCAATTAAATTTCATCAGATTCATATTTTTTAAAATAATTTAAAAACAAACTAGGAGAGTCTATCACAAGGACTCCCCCCCTGCTCATTGATTAACAGGTTTTTAGGCCCGGTTTCTAGGTCGACCCATGGCACCCCTGGACATAAATTAATTTTGATGTACTAAAATATGAGCTTAAAAATTAAAATAATTTGAGACTAGGGAAGGTTGCGCCGGTAGCCCTTGAAACTGAGCTCAAGCTATTTAACAAAGGAGCGGTAGTGATGAAATGATCAAAAATTTATGAAAAAAATACTCAAAAATCTCCAGCAAGCTTAATTTGCCCTTCAAGATGAAATGCAGCTGAAGATGAATTTCAACAAATTAAAAAAAAAATCGATCTTGCCATCCTCAAAATAAATTCACAAAAAAAAAATTGGATATTCATGTCTACGAAAGAATACCACTTTCTGTCTCAATTACTACTGAATATTCATAAAATAAGAGAAATTGAAATCATCAAGAGGGAATTAAGTAACAAATGAATGAATGGAATCAAATTTAGTTTTCCCAGTACTTGAATGAGTTGCAAAAAAGCACCTACATCTTCAATTTTTCTCTCCGATTCACTTAACATTCGATTTCAAATAATTTGAATATTCAGGACGCATCAATTGTAAAGGGAGAACAAAATGAAGATGAAGAAGACTGAAAAATAAACTAAAATGAAACATTTTGGAATGCAAATGAATCCAACAACTTATCAGTCGGTACATTGCAGACGCAATGGGAATGGTAGAAGAACAAAAAAAAATTGTAGATAATTACGACACGGGGGGATTAATTCCTTTATCGAATTGCTCAGAATACCAAAAAAGTTTCTTTCTTCTTTTTATGCTGGCTGACTGGATCAAGAAGTGGACGAAAAAAATGCAGTTTGCATTTAAATTAAATTAATTAAGAAGTTTCCATTTTTTTTTGTTGCGATAAATGCTCTCATTTTATTTTTCTTCTTTGCACCATCCAGAACATGCTTTATGCGGGCAGTGTGAAAAATGTCTTTATTCATTTCATGACACGCTTTGTGTGTTAAGTGATGCCTTAATTTTATTTCTTTTTTTAAAAAAAACTTAATTATTTTCTTTTCTAATGCCCTCTTTATGAGGATGAATAATAAGAATAATGTGGTCTTTGGAATGTTCAGCATGACAATTTTTATTTTGAATTCTTTTGTTTTTTCATGCGAATGTAATTGTGTATGGTACACTTGGGAGGTATTTTTGAGTAGCAGTAACACTGAACTCGTAGAATTTTCACGGTTTGCAGCTATAACGAACTTAACTCAAATGGCATAAGTTGGTTAAACAAGCTGGAGTGACTATGGATTTAAATCGAAATAAGCACCATGCCAGAGTCATGGCTGGGCGCTGGATATTTATTTGATTAACCGACTTGTACCATTCAGGTTGTATACTTTTAAAAAACTATAAAAAGAATTTGTGAACAAGTGAGCAGCTGATGTGTTTGAAAAAGTTTTAAAAAAATATTAGACAGCGTTATCAAAAATTAAGCAAAACAGAGTTATCAAGCGACAGTCGTGCAACTAGTGTAAAGATTCTTTAAAACATAGTTGGAGCTACACAGCATACGCTGGGTTGTAGTCATAATTTTCATAAAGTAGTGAGGGGAGGGGGAAGGGGGGGGGGGGGGGTTGATTTTTACCGTTTAACAAAGAGTTGACATCGGTTCTCATAAAGGCTTTAAAATAAGAAATTCAGCTACCAGTTGCAAGGGCTACTTAAAGCAGTTCAATTATGACACCCCGTTCCCTGTCAAATATGTACGAAAAAAAATCTTTAATTTGATCTGTCAAATTTTTTGACCCCCCTCCCCCCTTAACCTCGGACGTCATAAGTAAACGACCCCTTATTATTAGTCTAGTTTGTAAAAATCTGTGACTTGTGAAGCTACCCTAAGAAGGCTCAGAAACCGGTATAAACCTTCATTGACTATGTTTTTAACCTCTTTTCTTTATTTTATTGACGTCGCTGTCCAAAGTAAACCTTTTAACTACTCCAAAATATTCAATTTATGTTCCCTTCTAATTTTAATAATTTCCTGACTTCAACCCTGACGCTTCATCAAACAGAGAACTCCAATATTAGACTTCTGATACCTAATCTCCCTCATTTTTCTCTCTCTTCACAATTCATAATTATCATCAAAATACTCTCGAGAAGTTCACATTACCAAATCTTAATATTCATTTAGTTTCTCACAGACATTTAATGAGAGGAGACTTCAAGCAAGTCATCATCCTAATACATAAGTGATTAAAACCAAGAAAAGTAATGAATTATCAAGATCTTATCTCACTTGATGAGTGTGAGAAAATTGTAAAGGCTTCAAATAAAAGTGATGATGTGGAAATCGTTAGCTATCATATATCGCAATTTGGTGATGGCTTTTCTGGCTTTTTAGGTGAATATTTTATTCTTCTCATCAAGTATCAATGTGTAAGCATAAAACAATAATCTCTTCTCTTCTTAAATATGTGTACTAGTTTCTTCCACTTGATTGAAATTAATGTTCATGAATTTATTTATATGAGCATGTAAAATGTAAATGGAAAGAGATGCTGAAATTGTTTCATTTTCTACAGGGAAATGGATTGAATAATGAGCTGAAGGAAGGAAGCTTTTTCATTAAGTCATTGCCAACGAGTAATGAAGAGAAACGTCGAATTCTTACTCAATGGGGAATCTTTAGAAAGGAAGTGATGATTTTCGAGCATTTAATACCGAAACTTGTGAAATATTCATGTAAGTGGAAAAGTGTCTTTTGTGTTGGTGCTGCTTTGGCTATAATTAATTGAAATAAAATTTGAATTTTTATTGCAAAAAGGGTTTGATCAGGTCCAGGGGTGTAGCCATGAATTTGAAGAGGGGGGCCAAAATAAAGTTTATACAGAAAATTCAGAGGGACGGGGGGATTTTTATGATTTTTTCATAAAACTCCTAGCAAAATGAAGAAATTTTTCTTTACGTCGGGGGATTTGACTCCCATATCAACCCCCCCCCCCCCCTCCTGATCAGGTCTGATAGATTTAAGATGCTACCTTTAAAGACCCATAAAATTTAAAATCCATTTCAACAAAAGCTCAAACTTATATCCATCCAAAAGTCAATAACATAATAAAATCCATTTCTTGCAGCAAAAAAATGGAGTCCACATTGTTATCTAGCACGTGACGACATAATGGTATTCGAAAACCTTGAGCTCGCCGATTACCGAACACTGCCACGACACATTGATCCAAGCATCAATCATATTAAAATGGCTTTACGTACGTTGGCATTATTTCAAGCATCAAGTATTATTTACGAGCGTCTTGAATTACGACCGAACGGTGAAATGTCAATTGGGGATGCGTATAAGGATATGTTATTTGAAACATCATATAGCGATGATAATCCGTGGTGCATGACCAGTATGAGGGCGGTAAAAACTGTCGCTCTTCACTATACAAAATATGGCATCGGATCGAGTTTCGAGAATGCGATTCAAATGGAATTTATGATAAGAGCAAAGAAAATATTTGAGATTCTCGACAGTCCCATGCCTAAAATACCGTACGTCCTTTGTCATCGTGACTTATGGCGCAATAATTTAATGTATCGTTTTGACAATAATGACTTTAATGTGCCATTGGACTGTATTTTGATTGACTTTCAAATAGCTCGTTACTATCCACTTGCACTCGATGTAATAATTTGCATTATGCTTCCATCAATTGAAATAACATCCACGAATATTGATGAATGCATAAAATTTTATTATGATCAATTGTCATGCGAATTGATGCAACACAATGTGAATATTGAGAATCTAATGTCGCTACATGATTTCGAGGATGCTTGCGAGAAATTTAAATTGATGCCATTGCTAATGCAACCGATGTTTTGTAGTCTAGCAAATTTGCCTGTGGAATACATTCCAAATTTATTGAAAACTGACGAGGAGAAATATGTGATGTTAAGTCATAAAGATCGTGACCCGGTGATTTTTGAATTTATGGACACGGATGAATATTACCGAAGCACAATGGTCAAAACCACTGAGAGATTGATTGAGTATTTATTTGCTGATGAAATAGGAAATTTAAACAGGATGTTAAAGTGAATTTGAACGTTTATTAAATAGTTTAAATTTACAGTTCAATTTTTAGTGCATTTTTCTTAGGAATGAATGCGTTTATGGGTCCACTTTGGCTGTCTGACTTTCTCGAGTTTTGGGATTGAAAGCACTTGGAGATTTCTGATTTTCTTGCAATAGACATAATTTACATGCTAATTTGTAGATTTGCAGATTTCTTGTTGTTTTTCTAAAATCACTTTAGTTAAAATAAGGGACCGTTCACTTATGACGTCCAGATGAGGGGGGGGGGGGGGGCTCAACGAGAAAATAATAAATGACCGTTAATTTCGAACGTCATAAGTAAATGTTCTTTCTTTTTGCAATGATAAAACTTATTTTTACATAACATAACAATAAATTTTAAATTTTCAAACACCGTTAAATGCACTTAGTTCCTCCGTTTACTATAATGCAGCTGGGTAAATCCGCGGACAATAAAAAGCTTCAAATTTTTGTTTTTCTCAAATTTCTCTTCTATTTGGTTATTTAAGTGATATTTTAATACCAAAACATGCGTATTTCCGACAAATGTACAACTTTCGATAACTTTGGCATGAAATAAATCATTAATTAAAGAGATATTTTGATTTTTCTGGCGTCAATCTCTCCTGCAATCGAAATTAATTTTCAGAAAAAAGCAAAAATTTTCTTAATTATAAATCTAGACAGCACCAGACTTGTTTTATAGCATTTCAAATTTAATTTTCTATCATATTCTTTTATCAGGTGTTAAAAAAAGTCACTTAATTAAGAGAAATTAAAGAAAAAAGCGTCAATCTCTCCTGCAAGAACACTTTGTTGCAAAACATCAGTTTAGAATATTTTTTCGTAACACACTATAAATTTTGAAAAGTTATAAAACGTTAAGATCATAATTAATTGAAATATCTAAATTATGCAGTGACTTACAGCTTGAATAAAGCTTTATTAACGATAACACACTAATTAATTGCTTAATTAATTAAAAAATAAAGAATTGATACAATAATGTTGATTTTTGTTCAAAAATTGTAACGAGTTTTTATTTTTCAAATTTTTCCAAGAAGAGAAATATTACAACTCGCTTTTTGCCAGTTTCATAATTTTGCGGATTTGCCCAGCTTCTATACTAGTTTTACAAACTTCAATTATCTGACATTGTTAAAAAATTTATTCAGTAAGTCAACAATAAATCAATAAAAATCCAACAACAAATTTAAATGAATTGCATGCAAGTGTTTTCGTTCACACCTGAAATTGATATTAATATTGCATTATTTTGGCTAAGGGTGCGAAACTGATGAATTGCATTTTGATTGTTTTTTTGAAAAGTGTTTATTAACTTATTTCGTAATATAATTTTTGAGCATTTTGATCATTTTTCATCAGTTCTGTACCTTTGATTTGGCCTTATTGTGAATTTAAATTCATAACTTTCTAGATCGTTATTTTCAAAGTTTTCAAATAAAGCTGAACAGTTTACGCAATTTCACACGTTAAACAAATAATTCAGAATTTAAAAGGTTTACATTTCAAGTAACTTGCAACACTCGTTCAATTTCACTATCGTTCAAAAGTTGAAACTGAAAGGAAGTAAATCAGGAAAGCAAAAAAATGGAGAATCCCGTTCAGAAGTTCTTTGATAATTTTCGAAATATTATGAAAGATTTAAAGTTCAAAGTGACAAAAAAGCAAAAAGGAAAAAAATTAATTTTATTTGATGACTTTTTTGTGTCAGAAAAATTGTCAAAAGTTTTAGGCTACACGTTCTTAGTTGATTCTGGAACCAATCTAAATGATTGGTTAAAGTTTCATGGGATTTTAAATCAATTAGCTCAGATTTTTTTAATAACTTTATTGATAATTTCAATTAAATTATCAGCTCAAGAAGGCAAGCTTTATGCAGTGATTGAAAATGTCTTAATTTCTGCAATTATTTTTTTTGCACTTACTAAAATTTTTGTAGTGTTTTATAAAAACAAAACTAACATTTCAAAAGTTATTGGAAAGCTTAAAGTCCACTTTCCACATTCAGGAGTTGACTAGCTTAGATTCAAAGCTCACAAGTATTGGGCGATGCTAAATAAGTTAAATATTATTTTTAATTGTGCATATCAACTTATTGTGGCTCAATTTTGTCTGATGCCATTTATGCATCAAATTTATGCTGCATATAAAGGAACAACTTTAGAATGGGAAACAATTTTTGCATTAAACTTAGGCTTTAATCAACTTCAACCAATTGTCTATGAAATAATCTTTATTACTCAAGTTTGGACAGCTTTTTTCGGAGTTTGTTTTGTAATCTGCTCTGACTTGCTTTATGCGAGTGCAATGCAAATTTTGATTTTGGAACTAGACGTCCTCGGACAAGTTATAAGTGACATTAATTTTGATAATGGAGAAGAAGCAATTAATGAATTTAAGAAGCTTGTTGACATTCATCAGGATTTAATAGAAATTGCTGAACATTTAGAAGACATTTTCTCTCCAATTTTGTTAATTAATGCTTTTGGATCGATTATGTCTTTATGTACAGCATGTTTTTTGGCTGTGGTAAAATTTAATTTTTTGGATTTGGTCATCCACTTCATTTAATTACTTTAATTTAATATTTAATTTCAGACTGGAATTAGTGGATACTTTATTTTAAAATACTTTATGTTCCCTATCGTTGTGCCTTTACAAGTATACTTTCAGTGTTATTTTGCTCAGAAATTGATTGAGTAAGAAATTATTACAAAATATTTTAAAATGTATTTTAACCCCCCCCCCACTACCCCCTTCTAGCAAAATTTATATAAAAGTTTTTTTTGTTTGTTCCGTAACAAAATCTTAGACCCCTTCCCCTAAAATCCTTACGTAATAAGTGAACGACCCCTTAAATAATTATTTCTTTCATCACATTCTGATTCTTAATAGCTCATCAACAATGATTGCAACATCAGCATACAGCACAAAATGGTATAATTGCAGTGTTAAGTTTCAACGAATGATCCTTCTTGTTATAATGCGATCTCAAAAGTTTCAAACTATAACGGCATGGAAGTTTTTTGATGTGTCAATGGAATCATTTCAATGGGTAATTAAATTACCTTGATTAAAATATTTTTAATCAATTTTTAACGCATTTTTGAAACTTGTTTCTAAAAGGTAGCTTAATAATACACTTTGTTCGACTGTTCGGCTGCTCGGGCAAAGAAAAACTTTTAACCAGACATCGTAGAAAGCTCAGGTTTGTTTCATTAGTTCCGTTACTATCGATTTATCGGCCCATCGAATGGTTAAAATTTTTCGAACTATGTATTTATGCTATAATTAATGATTTTTTATTTCAAAAACAAAACCACCAAAATTTTTCAGGGTATGTTCAGAAATTCAAATTTATTTCTATCGTTAAAATATTTGAATCTCAAAAAACAGTTAAATGAAAAATTGAAATGCTGTATAAAGGCAAAATTTTAGAGCTGTTTGCTTATTGATTTGCATTTTGATGCTTATCAAATACTGATCGCTGTGCCAAAAATGCGCTTAAGTCCCTCGATCAATAACACCAGGACTTCTGTAATTTTTTTACATTACAGATTGTTTCTACATCATTTTCATATTTTTCGGTTCTAAAAGGAATGAATAAATCATAAATATTAATTATATTTTACTTAAAATTAATTGTTTAATCTCACTTAGTAATTGTGTTTTTAATTTTTTTATGGATATTTAAAAAGTATGGAAAAATAAAATCTTTTTGTTTTAGTTTAGAAATCGATGAAATTCAAATTTGTTTCTTTAAATGGTGTCATGTAAGTTCATGACTTTTTTAAATATTAAAACATTCAGCTAAATTTGATGCTGGCATATCAACAGCCATTTAAAATTATGGCACATTGCTCCTTTTGTCGGTCTAAGTTCAATTCAGTCTAGGTTTAAGCAGCTAAATGTGACACAAGCCGAAATTATTCATCAAATGCATAAGGGATTATTTTAGGATTTTTTTGGAATTTTTCAGATTTAATCCTGAGTTTCCACGCCTTGGATTGACATAAAATAAGATTTATATAATGAATTAAACAACTTAGTGAACTAGTCGAACATTTAAAATATTAAGCAAATAGAATTAAGTTTATAGAAATCAGAATTCATTTTAAATTAATATTTCAAATAGAAATTCGATAGCTACAAAAGTTCAGATAAGTTTTTATGGATTCGTTGCTTGGCATTATATTAAAAATCAACTTTGCAAATCCTTGAATACAACCTGCGTTTGCAAATTTTTCTTTAAATAATTCATATGTCAATTTCAAGTCAACTTTGTAAATTGCATAAGACACGTAAGTCTCTCATTATAGTGTAAATATTCAACCTGAAAGGTTCTAAGTTTATAAAATGGGAAATTTTGTTCAAAAATTCACCACCAAGTTCCAAAATCTTGTGAAATGTTTGAAGTTAAAGTTGAATAGAAAGCAGTCAGTTCCAAAATTCATTTTGTTCCAAGACTTCTTTCTTTGTGAAAGACTTTCAAGGAAATTAGGCTTTACATTTCTTTTAAATCCTAAAAACCCACCCAATAAGTTTGCTAGGTTTAATGGAATCTTAAATCAAGTTGCACAGATCACTTTCATGATTCTATTCCTAGTTTCAATAATAATATCCGTTCAAGAAGGAAAACTGTTGACAGTAATTGAGAATGTGTGTATGGCAGGAATTTTATGTTATATCCTCGTCAAGCTTTATGTTGTTTTCTATAAAAATAAGAATAAGATCTCAGAGATCATAGCAAAGCTGGATGAACACTATCCTCATTCTGGTGTTGATCAGCTTGAGTACAGAACAAAGAATTATTGGAAAATTTTGAATATAATGAATGCAGTCTACAATGTTGCTTATTACATAGTTCCATACTTCTGTCTCATGCCATTTCTCAGGCAAATTTATGCTGCATATATGTCGATAGAACTAGAATGGGAATCTATTTTTACACTAAACTTAGGATTTGATCAACAAAATCCTGTTATTTATGGATTAATATATATTATCGAAGCTTGGTACATCCTATTTGGAGCTTTCTTTCCACTCTGTTCTGACTTATTGTATGCTAGCCTAATGCAGATTCTTGTTATGGAACTTGACACTCTTGGGCAAGTCATAAGTGAAATTGCCTTTAAAAACAGCGAAGAAGATGTCATGAAAGATATTAAAGTGCTTGTGGATATTCATCAGGAATTAATTGAAGTTGCTGAAAAACTGGAGGAAATATTTTCTCCAATAATTCTTATCAATGTGCTTGGATCAATAATAGGACTGTGCACTGCTAGTTTTCTTTCTGTTGTAAGTTGGATTATTTAAAATTTAAAGAAGCAGATTTCCTTAATTTTATTTTTCTTAGTCAGGAGTTAGTGGATATTTTATTGCAAAATACTTTTTGCTGCCAATCATTGTGTCTATACAAATATTTGTTCAATGCTATTTTGCACAACGATTGATTGAGTAAGTTTAGATCCAAATGAATATTTTAGGTTAAAAATTAAAGAATTTATATTTCAACTAGCTCATCATCTTCTATTACCACATCAGTTTACAATACAGAATGGTACAACAGTAGTGTTAAAGTCCAAAAGTTTATTCTATTGATTATGATCAGAGCTCAGAAGACACAAGCTATCACTGCTTTAAAGTTCTTTGATGTATCATTAGAGACTTTTCAATGGGTAAGTCAGATAATAATATAATTCAGATTAATTAATCAAATTTGTTTATATTTTTGCAGATTATCTCAAAATCGTATTCATACTTTTCAATTCTTTATGGAATGTATGGATCATAATTTCATAATTTATTGCGTAAGAGGTATGGGCGCACTATGGGCCAGAAATGGAAAATTTTTCCAAAAATTATTTCTACAGCTTATATGATAGTTCTTATTATGCCCTACATTTACGTCCTTAAAACTTTGCTCAAGTCGACAGCATGTCCGAGATATGGCACTTCAAAGTTGGTCAGACGACCATTTTCACGTTACATTGAAAATGCTCTCACCAGATACTGGATAGATGAATCTCCTTCAAATTTTTTTTGTTAATAGCTTTAAATAGTTACTTTGTTTTAAGATATAAACAATTGCAAATAATTTTGAAAAATTTTGTGAAAAACTAGATTTTTCTCAAAAACCACGTGTTCGTCATACTTTCGTTTGTGTAGGTCTTCACAAGCACAACCAAAGTTACTAATTTCTTTTTTATATTAAAGATTACATCAAAAGCTATAACTTTTGCATACATGTCGTATAAGTTAAAAAAGTTTTGATAGTGAAAAAAAAATTTTTTATAAAAAAAACAACAATTTTTTGACAAAAATCGCTGTAGTGCTTCAGGGATACCCATGGTAGTGGAATTTTATTTCACATTTAGAAAGCTCTCTAGATATGCTATCAATTAATGCAATAAAATGAACAAGTGTTCTCTTGGCAAAGAGCACTTTTTTGACTCTGAAAGTCGTATGTCGAGCAAGGTCAAAAAAGAAAAATAATCATAAAAATTTCAGTTTTAAATAAAATTTAATTTTTTTAATTTAGATTGATAGATCTTTTTAAAACGCGTCTTTTGAGTATAAATATGTTATAGTTTTGTCAAGTTTCGTGATCATTTTTTTAAAAAAATAGTTTTTTTCAAAAAAAAAATTGAAAAATAAAGTATTTGACTTTAGAATTTTATAAAATGCATCTTTTTGTCATTTTTTTCACTACTTTGTCTAGTTTTGCTCCTAGTTTTTTTCCTAAACATAAATCAATAAGAACTTAGCATAATTGAAGCCATTTGGAGGTTAAATTGAGTTAAAAATCGTTTAAAATTTTTGTATTTCTCAAATAGTTCTTTACACAAGTATCTAAGATATAAAGTGTTGCATAGTTTTGAAAAGGTATTGAAATTTCCAATATGTTAACATGAAAAGTTTAGGAAAATTTTCAAGTAATATAGTCAATTTGGGTAAAAAACGCATTTTATATATGCTAGTTTTTAATGTTTTTCGTTTTTCTCAGCAAAGACTTTATGAAAAACTCTCAAAGTTTGCACTTTTATTTGTTATATAAATGTTAATGACTCGTAAAAGTTTTGGAATTTTCCATTGAGTTTTTCATTAGTTCTCCTAATCTGAAATTTTCACTATTAAATTTTCGTTTTTCTCAACAATTGCGATTTTTTATTTATAAATAAATATCTTATTTTGTTTCATTTTTCAATATCTTTTCATTGATATGTAACAATCTACAAAAAAATTAAGACTAAAGAGAAATGAATAAAAAAGTGTCAAAAATGTATGAAAATTCTACGCTATTTTAATTTTTTAAGCCTTTTATGGTTAATTTTACTAAGTTTTATAAGAGTGTTATACCTTTTTTTGCAAATGTATAGCTTAAGACATTCATCCACCAAAATTCGTATGAGTCTACGCTAAGCACAACTGAAGTCAAATAAGCTTCAAGTTGGCGACAACCAAAAATTTTGAATTTATTAAAATTAAATTATTTAAAAGCTTTAAATTATATCTTCAGGCTGCTATTAATTACATGAAACATTTATAACAAAAGTAAATGAAAAAGCTTAATATTATAGCTTAAATAGCATTAAAACTAATATCTGGTTTTCTTCATATGGAACTGTCTTTTGTCTCGCTATACATTTGCAAAAAAAGGTATAACACTCTTATAAAACTTAGTAAAATTAACCATAAAAGGCTTAAAAAATTAAAATAGCGTAGAATTTTCATACATTTTTGACACTTTTTTATTCATTTCTCTTTAGTCTTAATTTTTTTGTAGATTGTTACATATCAATGAAAAGATATTGAAAAATGAAACAAAATAAGATATTTATTTATAAATAAAAAATCGCAATTGTTGAGAAAAACGAAAATTTAATAGTGAAAATTTCAGATTAGGAGAACTAATGAAAAACTCAATGGAAAATTCCAAAACTTTTACGAGTCATTAACATTTATATAACAAATAAAAGTGCAAACTTTGAGAGTTTTTCATAAAGTCTTTGCTGAGAAAAACGAAAAACATTAAAAACTAGCATATATAAAATGCGTTTTTTACCCAAATTGACTATATTACTTGAAAATTTTCCTAAACTTTTCATGTTAACATATTGGAAATTTCAATACCTTTTCAAAACTATGCAACACTTTATATCTTAGATACTTGTGTAAAGAACTATTTGAGAAATACAAAAATTTTAAACGATTTTTAACTCAATTTAACCTCCAAATGGCTTCAATTATGCTAAGTTCTTATTGATTTATGTTTAGGAAAAAAACTAGGAGCAAAACTAGACAAAGTAGTGAAAAAAATGACAAAAAGATGCATTTTATAAAATTCTAAAGTCAAATACTTTATTTTTCAATTTTTTTTTGAAAAAAACTATTTTTTTAAAAAAATGATCACGAAACTTGACAAAACTATAACATATTTATACTCAAAAGACGCGTTTTAAAAAGATCTATCAATCTAAATTAAAAAAATTAAATTTTATTTAAAACTGAAATTTTTATGATTATTTTTCTTTTTTGACCTTGCTCGACATACGACTTTCAGAGTCAAAAAAGTGCTCTTTGCCAAAAGAACACTTGTTCATTTTATTGCATTAATTGATAGCATATCTAGAGACCTTTCTAAATGTGAAATAAAATTCCACTACCATGGGTATCCCTGAAGCACTACAGCGATTTTTGTCAAAAAATTGTTGTTTTTTTTATAAAAAATTTTTTTTTCACTATCAAAACTTTGTTAAAATTATACGACATGCATGCAAAAGTTATAGCTTTTGATGTAATCTTTAATATAAAAAAGAAATTAGTAACTTTGGTTGTGCTTGTGAAGACCTACACAAACGAAAGTATGACGAACACGTGGTTTTTGAGAAAAATCTAGTTTTTCACAAAATTTTTCAAAGTTATTTGCAATTGTTTATATCTTAAAACAAATTAACTATTTAAAGCTATTAACAAAAAAAATTTGAAGGAGATTCATCTATCCAGTATCTGGTGAGAGCATTTTCAATGTAACGTGAAAATGGTCGTCTGACCAACTTTGAAGTGCCATATCTCGGACATGCTGTCGACTTGAGCAAAGTTTTAAGGACGTAAATGTAGGGCATAATAAGAACTATCATATAAGCTGTAGAAATAATTTTTGGAAAAATTTTCCATTTCTGGCCCATAGTGGGGCGTGTACACGGTACAATAGATTCTTTCATCGATCAGGATCGCAGTGCCTTCAGATCGTCGCAACGTGTAGTAACAAACTGCTTGATAATCCGATTTTTATTATGGGTGTGTCACAAAAAATAACAGAGATTTCCCATTTCTATTGATTTCTAATTACAATATGATATAAACGGGGAAAACTATCTCCTGTTATCTCCTTGGTAGTAGTTAAATAAGGTATGAGCTGTTCATAAATGACATCCATTGAAATATGAGATTTATAGACCCTCTTCTTATTTAGAATTTGATTTATAGAATAGGGTTTCCAATTCCGGGAATCTCGGGAAGGCAGGAGGGTCTATAAATCTCACTTTTTGACGAATGTGATTTATGAACGACCCTTATTTATCGAGATCCCGAGGGTTGAAAACCCTACTCATCCCCAAGTTGACAAAAAAATTGGCAGCTTGTTTTTTTTAACCGTTACAAATCTTCAGCTCAACACATCATAGGCCGTTCACTTATTACGTAACGTTTTTAGGGGGAGCAGGGGTCTAAGAATTTTTTTTCATACAAATTTTGTTACGAGGGGTCTAAAAGGGCGTTTTTTCGCGTTACGTATTAATTGATAAGTATTTGGATACTTTGTTGCACTCATGATCAGGTCTCAGTTTTTAGATTCAATTAATAAATCTTGAAAAGTATGTCATAAATAGATTAAATTTAATCTAAAATCAAATAAAGCTTTATACTGTCGTTAATGAAATTGTGAATGAAAAATCAATAAAAAATATGAAAATACAAACAAAGGTTGATGGTACAATATTTATAGTAATGACATTTTCAAAACGATGCCACTCCATATTAATATTTCAAAACTGTAATTTTGTACTCTTTCAGTAGATTTAAATTATAAACAGAATGACTCATATTTCATACCCGAATGGCACAAGTCGGTTTATCAATTAGAAATCCGGCACTAAGCTGGTGTGACTCTGGCATGGTACTGGATTTAAATTAAAACCAGCACCATACCAGAGTCATGCCTGCTGAGCGCCGGATTTTTATTCGATTAACCGAATTGTGCCATTCGGGATATAACAAGCAACACGCAACTTAGTACATCTTATTCAATAATTTCATCGACCAAATACTTTTATAGATTGAAATTTTCAGCTCAGCATGATTAAATAATCGCTCAATTATCAAACAATGAATAAGATTATACCTCGTTATTGATACACATGCTGTTTTCAGTGCCAACATTCCATGTATTCTCATCCATAAATGCATTTGTTTATGATGATAAATAATTACGTTTTAAGCTTCAAAAATTAAATTATAGACAAAGTTAAAAAAATGCTCGCAAAACAGAAGTGACTCAGTAGTCGCGAGAGTACCAACAAGCGAGTGAATAGGCCTCAACATGAAATTGAGTTTTCAGGCATGACATCATAACAAGTTTTAATGGTGAAGCACGCGAAGCACTTTTAAAATTCATCCA